TTTTAGTTAACTGCTAAATATGTTTAATGTTTTTAAAAAAGTGCTAGACTGAATTCCATTGCAGAAAATTACACATTTCTATGCTACATCTTTTTTTTTTACCTTGTATTTCTTTCTCCTACCAAGAAGGAGGAGATTTCTCTGCTTTGTGATGTGTGCTTTTGTTAACTGTTAACTTGTTAGATTGATTCATAGACAGTACCACAGATGTGATTTGACTGAGAATTAAACAAAGAAGTCTGTTACCAAGGTATTCTGATACCCCAACTGTGAGACTTTATATGAGAATGTGGGAAGGATTAAAAATAAAATAGAAGTACCAATTGCTCTTCCAATTTTCCTAGCGATATTGCAATAGGCTTCCATATGCACTGTGATGGGCACTACTTTGAAGATTATCTACATTTTAATTCTTTCACCACAGACTAAATGGCTTGCAATAGCTTTTGGAAAGGCACAGCTTTGGCCAAAGACATGAGTGTGCAGAGAACATAGGACAGAAATGGCTTAGATGTCTCAGCTAACAAAATCAATTAAAAAACGTATTCATCATATTATTGTTGGGTTTGGATTTTTGTCATTGGTAAATAAAAATTCTGGCATCCAGAAAGCTAAGGTTATAAAGTGGTGTGAGTCAACCTTTTTGATATTGAGGAGGATCTAAAAGGAAAGAGAGAGAGTCTGTAACTGTAGCATGGTTAACCGATGTCAATCCATTCATGCATTCCTTCCAGCTGCTCAACACAATGGTGAATCATTTGGTATGGAAAAACATTGACTCTTCTTCATGCAATTCCCCAAAACAAGATTAAATTTGAGAAGATTAATAATGGATTGTTTTCTCAAAAGAGCATAAAATAATTGATCCTAAATGGATCCGTTTGCTTGGATTTGGTCACTGCATTTCTTGAAGCTTATTGCAGGGGAAAAAAATGGTCCGTTGGTCAAAAGATCAAAAGAAAATGAGGGGAATAAAATGTCTTCCACGAAAGGAATGTCTGTTCCTAGAAGAAAGATCTGGAAAAATTAATTAAATTAAATAAAATGCAAGTTAAAAGTGACACGAAAAAAATAGAAACGGGTGAGATCCCACTGTTGAGTATTTTTCAACCTATAAGAGCAAAGGAGAATTTTCTTTGAAATGGTAGGAGAAAGTCCAAAAGATCACAGGTTTAGAAAACATGATCTAAAAGGTGCAGTGAAATGAGTTGCTGAGTCTAGAAACAAGAGACTTGGGGAGATGTCATAGCCTTCAAATAGGTAAAAGTGATCTTCTGTGAGAAAACAAATAAATTTTTCACCATGTTCACTGAGGTTAAACCAGGAAGCAATGGATTTAAAGTACATCAGGAGAGCTATAGGTCAGATATAAGGAAAATAATAGATATCTGTGTATGAGAATGAGTGATAAGGAAGTATATGAAATCTTGCTAACTGAAGAGTTTTTACGAACAGCTTGGACAAATACCTGTTAAGCATGATGCATGTTTCTGTTTGGAGGAAGAGGTGAAAAGGATGTTGAGGTTGCTAATCCCATACTGCCTAGTTAATATTCCACAAAAATAATAATTAAAAAAAAAAAAAAGATGGGCAGTTGAAACAAACGGGGTTTCAAAATACCACACATACAAGACAACTATTGTGTTGAACAGCACATCAGCTACGTTTCCAGGCAGAAGTGGTTGCTAAATGTTTAAAATTAGGGAATTTTTCTACTACGCATTTTCTCTTTCTACTTTTGAAGCATTTGACATTGGGTATTTTGAGAGACAGGATATTAATCTAGATGGACTGAACTAATTTTGTGTGGTGAGTCCTGTCTTTCTATGGTTAAAAAAAAAAAAAAAAAAAGCAGCAGGAGGACTATATTCATGCCTTTTTCCAGGTGTGGTACAAGCTTCTGTTGCTTGAACTGACAACACCCTCAAGACTAGGTTGATCTGTGCTTTGATTTTCCCCAAACTTTTAATTTTATTGAATTCCCTGGGGAGTTCTTTGCTCTTTTGTTTGCAGGTTTATATATTTTGTCCTGAAATCACATGGTTTCTGAGGTAGCATCACCAGAAGAGGTAGTATTTCACTGGTACAAAATGTATTTGGCTTTTTTTCCTGAAGGAGGGCAGTTAGTGCTTCTTAAAAAAGGTTCTCTCTCATTCCTTACAGAGAAGAGGATGTTTGTAAGTAGTTATATTTGGCTATTATAACTCAGGTAATAGTCTGCATACAGTAGCTTAAAATAATGTTTCAACAGTAACAACATGTCTTTTGATATATATTTTTTTTCATTTAAAGAAATCTGATTAACTGATTTTTTTCTTGATCTTCATCTTTAACTTTGGCTAGGATTATTAACTTCCAATAACTGGGAATTTCTAAGACTTTCGCTCAGTTACTTTGTGCAATTCCACTTTGTCTCCTCAGGACATTATGTGTACAGTCTAAGGAACACTGTGAGTCTGTGCTTGGGATTGTAGGTCTGCAGTGGCCAGAAGATACTGACTGCACTCAGTTTCCAGATGAGAACTCAGACAACCAAACTTGTCTAATACCAGATGAAGATGTAGAAGGTAACTCCTATAAATACCTGTAACAGGAAATTAAAGATTTAATTAGGTTCCCAAAGTCACTGATTTTTTTTCCCATATTTCCTCTTCAAATTTTAATATTTAAACTGTGGAAATGATTCCAAACTGGGTTTCAGGGAACTTAGATACCTACAGTTTGCAGATAAGAGGACGTTCTCATAAGAAATACATTCAAAGAAAGGATCAGTTACCCTTGATCTGTGAAAGTTAGTGTTTGAGATTTGTTGACCACACCTATTGCTTGCTTGTGTTTATACTTCACTTTTTTACCTATTTAGATGATATAATAATGCTTTTCTAACCAGGAGGCAGACTCTTGCAATCTTAGAAAAGCTGAGCCCCACGACAGCTCTGAGAAAAATTTTGTAATGTCAGTGTCTTTGCCAGCTATTGTTTGCTCTTGGTTTTTGTTTGGGGAAAGTTCTGTAGGGGGTTGTGCCAAAGCAGCTTCAGTAGTCTTGTGGTTTATCCCCAGCCAGCAACTAAGCACCACGCACCCGCTCACTCACTCCCCCTACCCTGATGGGATCGGGGAGAGAATTGGA